ATAAGTTCAACGTGCAGCTTTGGATAAAAACAAAAACTCAAACAAGAGAACGATGCACTTTAAGCCACACATGCTGAAGATGGCCAGGTTGAAAGCTCATTGCAGGTGTAATGACAGCAGCAAGGCTGCACAACTTTCATGACAAATAGTAAAGAACTGAATTATTTTCTACCATTTCTGTTCAGAAAGAGAGGGAGACAGCACAACTTTAACGAAATTAAACGAACCCCAGTCCGGGTCCGCTATAGAAAAAAACTGGCCCCGAATCTGCATGTTACACTGCAAATTTCATCGAAAGACGATAGTCTTGCGTCAGAAGAGAGTGAAGAAAACGTTCATTTGATGTTCTGCGCAAGGAAATCTGTGAATGGTATTTTAGAGGCGCTGCGTTAGAGTGCCTCGAGCGTGTAGCGGAGGTGAACGAGCACATCTGGGCACGTTAAACACGAGTGCAATCTGGCAGTTATCTTCGAAAACGAAAGAAGGCGCGCGGCCCGCGGAGAAAGATGCGCACCTGTCTCAGAAATGATAAGGTGTAGAACGCAAAGTGACTGGCAGGTGCCACCACCGTGTCGTCTTCGCAAAGCATTGGAAACACTTACCTTATTGAGCATCGCGTTGCACTGTCAGCGCAGCGTGATTAATGCTACGGTCCTTACAATTACTTGTGAGGGCCTTCTTCAGTATAAAGGCACACAAACAAAACATCGACGTGTTGTTATAGTGCCTCAGATATGCGCAATAATTACTTTTTAATTGACAATCGCATAAGTAAAAACGCTGAAGATTGAGCAATATTTGGGGGCGCTGTGGATGGGGTTGGCCGTTTGGTGCTGTTTGAGGTATCGTTAAGGGCGGACAGACAGACAGACAGACAGTTCAAAATTTTTCCGGCGAAGGTCCCCAAGAAAGACTATCGTCTTTAAAAAAGCAAGGCGTAGCCATCAGACAGGCCTAGAAGTTTCAAATGTCCGAGTAGAGCCTTCACAATGTCTGAGATGGAGCCCACCAGCCGCTCCTCCAGGGTCGCAAGTATTAGATTTGTAGGCATACGTGCTTGAGGCCCTCGACTATGACTGCGCGGCCACCCGGACAATTCTACAGAACGTGAGCGTTTACGAGGAGCCTCCTCATGTCACGCAGGCAAGGGACCCGTCCTTGTCTTGTACGTATAGAGCTGAATATGGGGTGAGTTTGAGCACGCCACGCCAAGCCTTCCTCGTGTCTCGACATGGAGCGAAGGAGACCGTGAGGCGGTTGTTGCGCATCTCGTCTATCTAAACCAAGGCTGCTCAACAAAGACAAGTGATTTTGCAGTGGCTGGTGCGTCATGCTAGAATAGGTGACAATGAATAAATGTCATGAGCCACACCTGTCAATAAAAATTATCGACAAACATGAAAATTTTTAATTGCTGTTGAGTGCCCACCTTGCTTACCAAAAAAACAAGAACAAAAAATCGCAGTTTCGCCACAAGGGTGAAGCGACAAATGCGATTACAGAAAATTGGAATGTCACACGAAGAAAGGCTAGCAACTCACTCCTTACGCTAACGCGGCCGCTGCAAAAAGTGAAGTGACTATCATGCAGTCGGCTTCAACGAAAACATTGCGATGGAAGGGATCCCGTACTTTGCGTCTTCCGCTCCGTACTTTCACCGTGCCCTGTATAGGTCAAAAGGCGTAGTCGAATGTGTAGACCCCGCCCGTAAGACGGGTGACGTGAAGCTCCACGAACGCCTCTTCGTCCTTTGCGCGGTAACTGATTGTTAACAAGTCTGTTCACACGCTGAGGCACCTCACCGATGTGCATACTACAAACAAAAAATGGTTTATAAAATAGCTCACCGTTAGCAGTAGATATTTTTGGGCGTCCTGGTCTAGTGGTTAAGCGCGTCAGGCCGCGGAGCGAGTGGTCGGATGTTCGAATGCCTGATAGCGCGCTTCGAAGAATGTATCTTGGGAACTATTTTCTTGGGGGTTTTACATATACGGAATGGCACGGTGACGCCAACGGCGGAAAGCCACTGAGAGTGTTCATACAATTGCAATCGCAATAGAGAAGAATAGGAAATTAAATTCCTTTTACGAATCTGACCTTCATCTGAATAACCGGTTGGATAGAAACATTTCTAAAAGTACCCAAACAATTTATCAAGTGCACCTTAAAGGGGCCCTGCATCCAAATTACACCCACTTAGTTTTTTACACGTAGTACTGCGGCCTCTTTTTGTGCGCATAACTGGAAATATACTGTATGAATTTGGGTGGTGCGCGGAAAATAAGCTGGTCAAAAGTCATACGTCCTATCCCGTCTCATTTTTTTCTTTGTCCCATTTTCGCGACAAATATTTCGTTAAGCTATGCACCAACTAGCCCACCATTATACTCCATAGTTTTACATTCATCTCGCATCATTGTGAGACGAATGAAATAGCATTTTTAGATAAACGTGGACGAATAGAAGTTATTTACCTTCCAAATTAAATTCTAAACAAAAAGCATATGACAGAATCGGCATGTCCCATCAGATTTCCCTCAGCCAGTGACGTGGCAGGCTGGTTTTTAGCTGTATTCAATCAGAACTCACTTTCTGTTGGATTCGGTGTCACACAGTTTAGCAGACTATACTTTATTTCTAGGCAAACGAAAGGTCAGAACACGCCAGATACGATGAGCTACTCTGAATGGGTGGACAACGAAGGCGAGCTTACACGAGGAAGTGAAGCGTCATGCGTGGTTACATTTACGAAGACACGCCACAATAAGAAGACGCCACGGAGACCGATGCCACACAAAGATGACAGCGACGAGGGCCATGCAGGAATGCGTAATGGAACGCACTACAATGATGAGTGCGCGCACACTCAAGTTGGCTGAAAATAAAAGCACTGGCAGGTGAAAACCACAATACCAGCATTTGACAATGCTGCGGAATTGCGTGTCTCACCATAGAGGAATGAATGGAGCATTGGAATAAACCTGAACGTTGGCACACGCAGCTTCCCAAATGAGACCCGGAAATGAAGTTAGGTATGCCTCACAAGTGAAGCGTCTCATGCATTATTTCCAGAATTCGTCTCGACGTGGCATACAGATGTTAGGCCCACTTGATCTGCTGCAATCGCAATGGTCCCTATTGTAGTCATTGCAGTTCACACCAAACACCCGAACATATATTTTCGCCTGTCCAGTGCACGGAAGAGAACTTCAGCAACTCATCTCTCGATTGGAGGATATCTTAGTGGAGCATTAATTGTTGTGGTAATGTTAGGTCCTCGGCCTGACGTCAGCAGCACAAATGAGAATATAGGAGCCGTTGTAGCATTATTACAAGCCACCACACTGGATGCACGTTTTTATATTTGCGCCAGTGTAACGGTACTATATTATCAACTCCTTATCATACTATCATCATTCATCTCTATTTCGCTCCCTTGTGCCACCTCCACAATGTAGAGTAGCAGGCCAGAGCTGTTACACGGGCCAACCACGAGCTGTTACACGGTTTACGCTCTTCATAGCGAGCAAGCACTGTGCTGTCGCGAATGAGTTTTTTTTTTTTTTACTCTTCGAATGGCTTTTGGTGCTCTTTATTCCATATCCACTTGGTTTCCTTATGTAAACGCGTACAATGGTGAGGCTACTGTCACTCTGCCCTTGGGGAAGTGGTCATAAAAAGCAAGCCAGCCTAAAAATGCTTGAAGCTCAACTCTAGTTTTCGGTGCTGGTGCATCCATGATGGCTTTAACCTTCTCTTCAGTCATAAGTACCCCTTTCTCATCGATGCGATGTCCTAAAAACTCCACATGTTTGTCCCCAAATCGACATTTGTGTTTCTGTAGGCGCAGGCTCATATTACTCATTCTTGACAACACCTGGTCTAGCCGTTCGTTGTGCTAATCTGGCGTTTCTCCGCAAACATTTATGCCGTCGAGATACCCGCTGGTGCCAAGAATTCCGGCGAGAGTTGTTTCCATGATTCTTTTTTACTATTGCTGGTGCTGCTGAGATTCCAAATAGAAGTCTCTTGAGTGCATACAGTCAATTTATTGTATTCACGGTTAAAGCTTTGCTGTGTTTGCAGTGACCGAATGTTGCTGATAGACTTGAAATAGATCAAGCGTTGAGAACATTCTTCCACCTCTGAGAGTTGACAGCACCTTCTCAGTGGTGAGAAGCTGGTAGGCCGTTTTCACGGACGCTGCACTTACCGTGCTTCTATAGTGACCACACAGTCTTAACAATCCGAACTTCTTCCGCACCAACACCAAGGGTGTTGCCCAATCCGAGCGTTGCGCTGGTTGCAGAATGCCTTGTTGCCTCAAGTGGTCTAATTCTTCCTTCACAGCTGGTCTGAGCGCGAGAGGAACCGGTAGTGCTTTGCAAAAGCGTCGTGGGATGTTTCGGTCTAGCTCTATGTGAACTGGTGGTCCCTTGTAGCTTGTGACGTCTTGATTAAAAACGCATGCCTGCTTTTCTAATAGGCAGTGCAGCACTGCGGATTCTTTGTGCGTTGCATCATCCATTTCGTTCGCACCTTGCAGCCGGATTTAGATAGTACTCAACCAATTATGGCCCATATGGTTGCATCCGCTACCTTTCATGACATGCAACAGCAGCACGCAATCTTTAGTTTTGTGCCGCACTTGTACTTGAGCAGTGCCAACCAGGCTCAAGTGCTCTCTTGACCACGTGTTCAGATTTACTTCTGATTAGGCTAGTGGCTGCGGTTTTGTAGGCCAACTTCTGTCGTAGGTTTCCTTGCTGATTAGCGAATACCCTGCCTCAGAGTCAACTTCGAACTCCAAAAGCTTGCCTTTAATGCGTGGCGGCACCATAAACTTCGGACAAGCATGTAGGCTTTTTACTGTTTAAGGCCACATGTTGACTTGTCTCCAGACTCCTGCATGCAGGCAGGTTTCGGCTCCATTTGATGCGTAGCAGTTTTGCGTTGCTTTTTTTTTTTGCTATGCAAGCTCTTTCAATGTGCCCCATTTTCTAGCAAACGTTGCATGAGGCATTCCGGAACTTGCACTCACCCAGATCGTGCGAGCTGTCGCATCTGTACCAGTGTATCTCGCGTGTAGTGTGCTGCTTTCCTTTCGCGCCTCCTTTCTTCTGGCTTGTTTGGTGCACTTCTAACTTTTCTGCTTCGAGCTTGATGCTCTTCTGCTGCAGGGCAGCACTTTCCGCCCTCTCGACAAGGTCGAAAGCCTTCTGGAAGGTAAGGTCCTCCCCTGTGAACAGACGCTGTTGAACGAGCTCGTTTGGGACATCGCAGACGAAACGGTCGCGTAATATAATATTCAAGGAGAGCGCGGTGGCTGCGGCCGTTGTAGTCACCGTCGCCTCGGCCACGGTCATTGCCCCGACGCCAAAGTTACAATCCGCGGCGAGTTTACGTAAAGCGGCAATGTGAACAGCAATGGACTCGTCTGGTTGTTGGTCGCGTCTTTGGAATCTGCAACAACAGTAGAGCTCAGATGGGCATGGCTCGTAATGTGCAGCCAAGGTTTGGATGATCTCTTCATACGGCACTTCTCCTGGGTTCTTTTGCGCTAGCACTGCGCGGACAGTATCAAATGTATCCGGCCCGCACACAGTGAGGAGCAGAGCTCGCTTCTTGTCGTTGGCTGTGATGGAATTCGCCACGAAGTAGAATCCAAGCCGTTGAATCCATGACATCCAGGCCTTCCCTGAAAAGGGCTCGATGGAAGCTTGAAGACACGTCTTTGGCAGTGGACCACACCCGAATTATCAATGGGTTTACGTTTCTCTCATCGCCAGTGCTATACCCGTCTGTTCGGTTCATTCATTGTAAGCACGCTGCTGATACATGAAGGCAGTGGTTCCGTTTTGGGGGGAGAATGCATCATGCCCTAAGCGCGTGCGCTGCTGCTCGGCCCTCTGGCGGTGAAATCTCGAGTGGCCTAAACCGAAACTCGAGAACAACACTGAACCCAAAACTCACAAACGCGACAGCCTCTCCTGACCTACAGATAAAGAGAGGCGAGACCGGAGGGGGGAGAGGAGACGGAGAGACAAGGAAACGCAAAGTTGCAACATGGGGCTCTTTAAAGCACATCTAAATCTGAGCACACGGGCCTCGAGCATTTTCTCCTCCATTTAAAATGTGGCCGCCGTGGCCGGAACTCGATCCCGCAACCTGCGGGCCAGTGGTATAGAGCACCAGATATCCCCTAGATGGCTGTGCCAAGTAGTATATTTTGTTTGTTCTCTTTTTAGTGGATCGAGTCTCGGACCGTCAAAGAGATGATCGACGTTGATGAAGTAGAAAGCAGGTTGGATATGTAATAAAACCTGAAGACATATTTTTACAAAATATTTGTAGGGTCAGAGCTACAGTTTGCCGAAGCTCACCAACATTTGCATAAACAGCACCTTACTCTTCTAGTGAACTGTTACAACATACGTTGAATCGAGCTTCACTGTTCGCCCAACACATTGTTTTGACCCGGACAAAAACTGATTCCTGCGGAGTGTTACAGATCGGTCAGTTCATTGATTACAGCCAAGGCTGAAGAAAAGTCCACCTCATACAATCCTTATAGCCATGCAGCGAACTTCTTTAAAGAAAAAGAGAAGTGACCAATGCTGGTCTGCGTCGACATTCCCTGAGCCGATCACTTTACAGCTCAACTTTGGCCACTCCTTACTGGGATGTAGTTAATCTCGATACCAGTATTTTTAAAATTTAGACGGTTATTTGGGCACCCTTTCTCATCATGGCTATTTCTCCTCGGTACCAGGCTCGTACCAATTACTCTCTGTGTGGTTGCCTTTATGTTTTCATGCGCCGCTCTCACCAATTACTAGAAGTGAGAGCTATATATCTCGCCCGAGATATATAGGTGCTGTAGTACAGTTTTTACGACGTCTCCTCTACCTCAGCTAGCCGAAACCACTGTGTCTGTCATTAGAGTAGCCTGATGGTAAGCAGACTGCTGCTGTTTCCTCGAACGTTTATACGGGAAGCAAGAGGTGTTGCCTGTCATCACTCCCCTCGCATTCGGGCCACACGTGGGCGCGCCTCAGCGTTCAACCCGAGCTCCTGGCTCGAAGAGTCAGTGGCAAGGTCATGTAATCAAACTTGTGCCTGGCAGCGCACTAGACGAGCTGCTCGCTGTAAACAGTTCGAAATCTAGAGTTAAAAGTATAGTCAAAGACCGCGCGGAGGGAGAGAGCCGAGAAGGCAACTGTGTAACCATGCAGTGCCACGCTGTCTTATGTTCTGCCTCACTTAAGTCAAGCGTGCAAAATAACAGTCTCGTTATGCTGAATGACTTGTTCTTGAGTTAGGTGGTGCTTGCTAAAAATCATGGTGCCTGTTTTTGTGTGTCAGTTTCTAGTCTTAACGCGACATTGTGAGTATTAGTCCCGTCATGTGACGTCATGGCGATGTCAAGATGACAGCATGTTGTTTCACAAATTTCGGTCATTTGGGACGTCACAGTGTGATAATTTCTTTTGTATCACTCATGTTGACGCCTCCGACGCCAACGGTTAATTTTTGTGTTTGAAGAGGCGCCTAAGGCTTCCATCCGAAATAAAAGCGTGCAAATACTTCCTTCAAGAACCCTAAGGGCTTATTTTACTGCCGATAAACAGACAAACTACGTTTGCTTAATCTGAACGAACGAAGCAATATACAAGGCAACTCAACGTAACTCAAGACATTCATGCGTTTCTACGTTGTGGGCAGTCCGCCTCGGTTGAACATTGGTTTCGATGCTCGGCTGCTGACCCAAGGGTCGTATTTTGACGGAGGCGAAATGCTCGAGATCCGTGTGCTGTGAGATGTCAGTGCACGTTAAAGATCACCCAAATGGTTGAAATTTCCGGAGGCCTCCCTTTCAGCCTCACAATCATATCATGGTTTGGTATGTATAGAAGTTAAGGTATTATTATCGGTGCTAGGTGGTTGTCTTATAAAGTGCCCACGGGGTCCTCCACGTGCCCCAGTGTAACATAAGGAAAGTAGGAGAAATTTGAAGGGATAATGGTCTAGATGATGGTCTTAAATTTGCATGAATAAATTTCACGCCTGGAAGACGAAAGGAGCCGAGGGAATATTTCGGCCACTCCCACAGCAGATGCAGCACTTACTCGCTTGTTTTCACTTCACGGTGCTATTTTCTATTAGAAAAACATGTGTCACAAACGACGGAAATTCGCTCTTGAGGTTGAATGCCACTTTGGCGTGCGCTATTGTACTCGGCTTCTGTAACACTTGCCGAAAAAACTATCGCATCTTGCAGTAAGTCGCACAAAACTTAGGTCACAGCAGTGCTGCTGGGCACGTTTAAGCGTCCCATGTTAAGCATCCGAAGAGAACGCTTGGGCAGTGATTGAACGCATCGTGCCGGTTCATGGTGAGGATAACCTCCAATCTACGACACGTGGAGAACCTCGATCATAACAGTTCCGCTGTAAAACAAGACATTTTTAAAGGGCACCTAGACCACTCCGAGCTCAAAAAAGAAACAGTGGTTTCCCCTCGCCTTCCCTACTTTGCTATATGATCCATTTCTTCCTCGCCACTTATTTATTCGTAAAACATGTGGACACTGTTTGCACCAAGCGTTGAGCCTATGGCGGTGTCACGTTTTTCGGCTACACGCTGCTATTTGTGCTTGTTCAGTCGAAAACAGCACAAAACGAAGTGAAATCAGTAGATCGCGCACGATAACCGTGCCACACAAGGCAGAGCACACGTGCGATGGCATGGAAAATCTGGGTACAAAAAAAGTGTGCAACTGATATTTCTTCTAGACGGGCCAATAGGGCCTATTTACACTTGACGTCGCGTAAACAGACTGCTACCGTCATCAATTCTGTCGTAACCAAGGGCAACGCCAGGAGAAAATAACGCACTTGTTCTTTGTACTTTCAGAGGTTGTGTATAGGGGCCCCTTAAAACCTGATTCCTACAGGTAAAACATGGCCGAAGTACGGGAATAATAAAGAAAGTATCAACGGAATTAATAACGATAAATTAATACAATATTCCGGAGTAGAAAAATAACCTTCCGTTTGATTTTCGTTCGTTTGCGCCTTCAAACCTTGAAATAAGGCTTTCTGGGGCGGCCACGAAGAGCTTCCTTCATGCACTGTGCAAAATAATCAGCCGAGAGTGTCCATATATTCATTATGGCTAACAGCGCGAAACCATGGACATAGACTAAAGGTAGACACAGCGTGAACTTGCCCAGTTTTCCATCTTACTTTGTGACCATATAACTACCCTCGTAATAAAAAAAATGAAGGAAATACAAGAACTGACTCTAGGTGGATGATTCGACTTTTTCGATAGGGTGAGAAGGGGGAGGGAAAGGGGGATCAATCTTGTATGCTTGCATATACTCCTAGTTGTGCTTCATAGGTACCAACACTAAAATAGTGCACCTCGTTAACTTTCATTCTACGCCTCTATTTTTCCAGTCATCTGCTCAACTCGGCTCTCTCCGGCGACTACCAAACGAACAGAGAAGTTTTTGCGTTTCGTCGGAACGATCACGACCCGCAGCTCCTCGGCCAATAAGATAATCCCGCTGCATTTCCCAAATTAGCCAAGGTTTAACCAAGGACTAAGAGGGACTGAAAACTTCGAACTGGTGTGAAAAGGCCATAAAAATAAATAAAAGGTTTCCTGGTGGCACAGCATCTAACAAATACAAAAAGCAAGGTCATATGCAGTACAACATAAGAAAAGGACGCTAATATCAGTTGATCGAGGAATCAGCCACCACTGTTTGTTGTCAAGAAACCATGCGGCAATTGATAATATAACGCGAAAAACAGGTCGGTCCATACGATATTATCCAAAACCACTAACAGCGCCTGCATATATTCTAAAGAAAAAAGGTGACAGTACCAGCTTATATTAGGAAAAAGAACGAAAAAAAAAGGTGTGCATCCCAGGGTGGTTCAAGTAAGCAAGCTGCAGACAGCGATCCTGACCACGGCGTAGTAACACGAAGTGACGCGCTACCATGGAGCTCGAGGCGCTGATGGAGACTGGCGCCAGCCTGGGCCTGACCGGAGACGACTTGAGACGCTGGATCGACGAGGAGCGCCGGGCGGACCGAGAGCAGAGGACGGCCGCCGAAAGATACCGGGGCACGCACATGGACCCGCAGTCCTGGGAGAAGATGGAGAAGGAGCGCCACTCACTCGAGCTGCAGGAGCGACTGCGCCAGGTCGGCGCCCTCGCTGAGTCTTCGTACCCGATAGTGCCGCACAACATTCCTCCGGGAGACAAGGGCGCCTGTGGTTACAGGTTTGATGGTAAGGCTAACTCCGTATAGCTTTTGTTGCTTCTTTCGGTTATTCGTCTCACTCGTCTTTACTTGCTAGGTATTCGATTGAAATGGGCTCTATACGGACGCCAAGGCCGCCGCAGTTGTCGCAATAAGGACTTATTTTCTGGATCCGCGGTAAAGACCCCTCGACTTTGACACTTGTGCTGGATCCATTGCCTCGCCCATCGAAACAGCGCGAAGCACTCGCCTTTCTGCTTGCCCTTCTTGAATCCGTTGGCTTTCTCCACAAACTTTGATCATTGTACTGAGAAAGTGCTTACGCGTGAACGTGCTCATTTTTTTAAAAGAAATTTCCATACTCCCTGCTTCCACCACCCAGATAGCCTACTCCAAGACGTGCAT